AGATATTCGGCAGCTCAGAGAAGCACACGGATTCCGAATTTCGAGTGGAGCGAAGTCCACTATCACCGCCTGGGGGCCACGCCGGCCCTCGGCCGTGCTGTACACATTCCTGAAGCTTTGGGCGTCCCCAGCTCACGCGGCTCCTCCCCAACTGGGGAGCCCACCTGAGGCTGCCTCATCCCTCGGCAGATTAGAGACGGGCCCCACCCTGCACAGCACGCTTTCCCGGTGCCCTACGTGGGTGTGGTGGCCTCAAGCTGCCACCAAAGGGGGCAGGGACGGGAGTCTGAAACTGCTCACAGCCGTGCAGGTCGGCACATCAGTCCCTGGGGAAATGAAAGCCGGAGTCCTGCCTGGAGGAGCCTGCCCGGCCGCGGGCGCCCGGCCGCTGCTCCCAGCTACTTCAAGGCCGAGGGCGGCCCAGCCGAGACTGCGATGTGCGGCGACGCGGAGTGAACCGAGAGGGCGAAGGCGCCGTCCGGAGAGAGGGCAGCTACATTTGCTGCGGACGCGACCCAGAGGTTCGAGGCCGGCCTCTCTGAGGACATTCTGGGGAGAATCGATTGGTGGGTAGGACGGAGCTATTTATACCTCAATACCCACGGCGCCGCTGCCTGCCCGAGCCCGACTCTGCCCTTCGGGAAACGCGCCCCGGCAGCGCGCCACGTGCCGACTCTGGACAGGATGCGCCAGGGTCTCCGTGGCAGGGAGTCCTCCCGCCTCGGCCTGCCTGCCGCGGAGCCACCTGGAGGGAGCTGCGTCCACAGCCGCACCGGCTGGCGCTCCTCCTGGGTTACAGGTGCACACACACGCATGCCCACATGCACACCCACGTGCACACACACCTACGTGCACACACACCCCAGGTGCACACACACACATACCCACACGCACACCCACGTGCACACACACCCACGTGCACACACACCCCAGGTGCACACACACGCATACCCACACACACACCCACATGCACACACACCCACGTGCACACACACCCCAGGTGCACACACACGCATACCCACACGCACACCCACGTGCACACACACCCACGTGCACACACACCCACATGCACACACGCATACCCACACGCACACCCACGTGCACACACACCCACGTGCACACACACCCACGTGCACACACGCATACCCACACGCACACCCACGTGCACACACACCCCAGGCGCACACACGCACACACATGCACACATGCACACACATACATGCACACACACGCACACACATGCACACATGCACGCACACCCACATACCCCATATGCAAGCACACAGGCATGCACATGCACACCCCACACACACCCACGTGCACACACACCGCAGGTGCACACATGCACACCCCACACACACCCACGTGCACACACACCGCAGGTGCACACATACACCCCAGGTGCACACACACGCACACACATGCACACACACCCACATACCCCATATGCAAGCACACAGGCATGCACATGCACACCCCCCCACATGCACATGCACACATATGCACGCACGCACATACCCCACACACATCCATGTGCACACACCCCACACACACCCACGTGCACGCACCCCCCACATGCACACACACATGCACACACGTGCAAGCATGCACCCCCACACACCCCACACGCACATGCACACACACACGTGTGCACCCACACGTGCACCCACACTCCCCACACACATGCACACACTCCCCACACGCACGCACCCCCCCTACATCCCACACGCACGCTTGCACGCACACACAGTTTTTCTCTCTCATCAATTACTGCAGGAGACCACCATATCATTCCAAATTGGCCACTAAACAAATCATTGTTGCCACAGTTCTTTGCGCTTGAGTTTGTCTTTAGTTACCTGGGAGCTCCGCTTGTTCCCCTTCCCTCCTTCTCTCCCTCCTTCCTTCCCTCCCTCCCGGGAGGTTAAGAAAACAAAGATAATGACAGAGAAACTCTAGGGAGCCAAGATAGCTTCCTGCAGAGTGCTTTCAGGATAAAAGACATTGATGTCATTTTCCCCCCTGTAATTGAAAAGTCCTCAGAGAGGACTATGCACAATGTCCTCCCGCAGAGGAGGGGCCTGCCCAGATCAAAGCGGTCTGGGCCCCACACCTTCCCCAGCCTCCCACCAGGTCCCCATCCCTGGAGACAATTCACCCGGCCGGGCAGCCCAGGGGCAGCCTCAGTCTCTTCCTGGGCTGGCTGTGGGAGGGAGGACCCCAGAGGACCTCCCTGCCCCTGGCCCTGTGCCCTGAGGCAGCTGACTTTACGCTGGTTGCCCTCTGGTCACCAGCGGCTGCCATTGTCTGCTCAGAGCATTCCTGTGTGATTCTTTTCCCTTTCCCTCCACCCGGCAGGCACAGCCTCCTCCAAGACAGGCGTCCCTTCCCGTCCTCTCCCCTGCACCCCCGGCCCCTCCAAAGCCCTTCGGTCCATCCCAGTTCCCAGTTCTGGCAGACGCCAGATAAAAGCTCCCCTTGGGAGTGGATTCTAGCGGATCCTCTTGCTGCCCGAATCGCAAAGGGGCCTTTCACTCAGGCATCCTCCGTGGACTGCATCTGCCGGGAGGGTTTTCGAGAGAGAGGAGACAGTCACAGTCACAGCGACCCCACCTACCGCGCTTCTCTCGGGCTCCACGACGGCTCCCTCCGGCCCTGGGCTCCTGGGATCCCAGCTCCAGTGTCCCGAACAGGCCTCCTTTAAGTCCCAAGGCAGGGGGTGGGGTCCGGGCGCTGGGGGGCGTGTTCCCGCCCGGGAGGATGCCCAGTGGACAGGCCTCCAGGGAGGGCCGGGCGGGCCTGTTCTCGCGAAGGGGGAGGAAGTTCACGGTGGAAGCAGCACAGCCATCCTGGCTCTGAGCCAGGCCGATTATTCACAGCCCTGATGTCATCGGATCACAGGAATCTGGGAGTTGGACAGGCCTAATCTCAGAGGCCCGAAAGGGGCTCTCAGGACCAGCTGGCTCTGGGCCCGGTCAGGAGTGATGAGCATGCTTGCAGTCCTGAACAATCACACCCTGGGAGGGGCTGGGAGGCAGCTAGCTGTCACTGGCCCCTGGGGACACAGAGGCTGGGGGCACCAGCGCCCCTGGGGGTGGAGGGCCGGCCTCACCTACAGTGGGAAGTGGGCTGCTTTGGTGGGAAGGACCCTCAGGCCTGGGCTTCTGCCCCGCGCTGTCCAGCTCTGGAGGTTTAGGGAGAGCCATTCACCGCGCCGTAACGTGCAGGCTGCACCAGCGGCCTCTGGCCTGGCACCCCTGAGTGGGCGTGGGAAGGGACAGACCAGAGCCGCACTGCTCCAGCCTCCCCATGGCATTCCCTCGGGGCCTCGTCCCTCCCTGCAGCAGGGAGAGTTTGCTTTCAGATGCAAATGCTGCTGGAAACAGACAGACTGTCCGGTTGCTGCCACCTTTCCAGGTGCTGAGGAGGCAGGTGGGACCGTGGGGCGGGGAAAGTCTCGGGTGTGAACCCGCTCTGCCAGTGCCGTGTGGCAGGCTCAGCCCGTGCGGGGCCTGCGTTCTCATCTGCAGGCCGTGGGGCCAGAGAGGAGCACAGCGTCCCCGGCGTGCAGCCGGGCTCAGGGGCGGTGGGAAAGGAGAGGGAGGGCTGAGAGAAAGGCGCGGGAGGGAAGAGGAGGTTGGTGCAGGAGACAGAGGACGGCCGGCTGTGGCGGGAGAGGCCGCATCTCATGTATTATGACCCCACACTGAGCCGTACTTGTCAGGCCATGAGAGCTGGTTTGAAGGTGATGCCGCCTGGCCCAGCTGCTTTTCCGCAGTTTTGTCCAGCTGCGGCCCCACGGATGGTGGCCACGGAGCAGGGTGATGGGATGAGCCAGCGCAGGGCCGGCAGGCCGGACTCGGCCCAGCCGCCAGCGTGGTGGCCCTGCCTGGGGCAGGTGCAGCTGCTCTCCTGCAAGGTGGTCGGCCACGGCGAGGGGCCGGGGCGCTGTGGGCAGCAAAGGTGGAGGAGTGGTAGTGAGGAAACTTCCAGCTACTGGGAAGGACGGGTTTCGCCGAGCGGCCACGTCCGACCCGAGCCCACAGGGACTGCAGGTTGGACGAGGGCCCCTGCAGCTGGCAGGGGACGCCCAGGGCAGGACGCCGAGCCGAGCGGCGACTGGGAGGGGAGAAACAGGCCGTCCCCACAGCCCGCCAGATGCCTCGAGATGCCCCCTTCGGGTTTTTAGCGATGGGAATGCGAACGTGCCCGTGCGACCTCCCAGACAGAATCTCCGGCGGGCTGGGCACCCGCTGGTTTGGAGCGAGGGAGGGCGGACCCAGGGCAGGTTGCAGGTCGCTGCCCAGTGTCCTGAGCTTTGCGGAAATACTCCAGAAGCCAGGGCCTTTGTGTCCCTGCTGAATGTGACCCTGGCTTCATCTCAAAAGCTCCGCGGGGGCCGATACGCTGACAATGGGGGCCTTAAGTTTAGTCAAGGAGAAAAAAAGAAAGGAAAATAAATCTTGGTGACATCATATCTTGGGAACTTTTCATCAGAGCCCTTTATTTTATTTTATTTTATTTTATTTTTATTTATTTATTTTTTTAAGACAGAGTCTCGCTTTGCTGCCCAGGCTAGAGTGAGTGCCTTGGCGTCAGCCTCGCTCAGAGCAACCTCAAACTCCTGGGCTCAAGCGATCCTCCTGCCTCAGCCTCCCAAGTAGCTGGGACTACAGGCATGCGCCACCATGCCCGGTGAATTTTTTTGCTGTTTTATAAATATAGTTTTGGGCCATTAATTCTTTTCTATTTATAGTAGAGACGGGGTCCCCGCTCTTTGCTCAGGCTGGTTTCGAACTCCTGACCTCGAACGATTCGCCCGCCTGGGCCTCCCAGAGTGCCAGGACTACAGGCGTGAGCCACCGCGCCCGGCTAGTTCCTTTACTTTAAATTTGAGGACACTGAGAAGCGGCTGCCTGGTCGCAGGCAGGGGCCCCGGTCTGGTGCAGAGTGCTGGTCCCCTCTGCTTATGTGGGCCACCATATGCTCTACCCGGCCACCAAACCTCGCAGCTTCATATGCGGGACTTTGCTTGTTTCCTTTCAGCCTTTCTGGTCATTTCTTTTTTGCTGCTCTGTTAAAACCATGCCAACAAGAAGCAAAGCCAGGCCGGGCGCGGTGGCTCACGCCTGCAACCCTAGCACTCTGGGAGGCCTTGAAAAGGCGGCGGATTGCTCCAGGTCAGGAGTTTTTCAAAACCAGCCCTGAGGCAAGAGCGAGACCCTGTCTTCTACTATAAATAGAAAGAAATATATGGGCCAACTAATGATGTATAGACAAAAATTAACGCGGGCCAGTGGTGGCGCATGCCTGTTAAATCCAGCTTACTTCGGGATGCTTGGGCAGGAGGAATCGTTGAGCCCAGAAGTTTTGAGGTTGCTGTTGAGCTGGGCTGACGCCTGGCACTTCACTTCAGCCTGGCAACAGAGGAGACTCTTGTTCTCAAAAAAAAAAAAAAGGAAAGGAAAAAAAAGAAACAGAAGCAAAGCCAGCGGGTGGGCGCGGATGACCCAGCCCTTCTGACTCCAGGGTGACCCGGAGTGCCAGGCCCTGGCCCGTCTGCGATGGGCTCTGCGGAGAGACCTCGTCTCTGCAGTGAGGGCATCCAGGGAGGGGTGTACCCCGCAAGCACTCTGGCTTACGCAGCCTCTGCTATCGGTTCTCCGGGTGACGTGGTGTCCCCCTGGGTGTCCCCCCGGGCCTGCGTCCCCCACAGCCCCGCAGGGCCCCCTCCGGCCCCGTCCTTCCGGAGCCAGGCACTGCTGCCGCGTGAGCTCAGCGCTGGCGCAGCTCTCCCCGCGCCCGCCCCCACCCCGGGAAGAGGTGCGTCCCCTGCTC